TGCCAGGCATGGAAATGTTACCAGTTTGATTCCATGCGGGAGGCAACAATTGGTGTTTATCTTGTTACAGAAAAACCGGAGAAGAACCAAGCAATGCTCAGAGAGTTTGGAGTCACACTTTATTCACCGCAGTGGGCTTAGAGAAAATGAATTCAAATTCTAAGCAGAGCTACAAGCAGAACTTCCCTTTTTATGAAAGAGCCAGCCCTATGTGTGGTTACTGGTTATCTCGCTGGTGGCCTTGAAAACTATACAGTTCTATCCAATTAAAAAATACACCTGGCATGGCATTGAGAGTATGGGCATATCTAGTCTCTGGCCTACAGGGTCAGACAGCTAAGTTTATCTTCCTCATTATTCAAGCAGGCTAAAGCAGGCTAGAAAGCAAAGTGTTTTTTGTTGTTGTTTTTTTTTTTAGAATATGAGGCCTTCTAAAAAATATCAGGGAATTCCAAACAGTAGTTTTCCAAAATAGGGGTTAGCCTTCTCAAGATATCTCCCTCTGTCTGCTGCTGCTGTCCTAATACAGACTTTTCTTACATTTGGACCATTTCATTGGCTTCCAAAATGTTCTGCCTGCCTTCAGTCTCCTTCCTCTCCAGGTCATTCTGTGAACTCCTGCTGCATCAATTTTCCATGTTCTATTTAGAGAACCAGCCAACAGTCTGACTTTCAAGTTCTCTCAACTCTGTCCTTGGTTCCCATTTTCTTCTTTATATTCCCTTTGATTCAGTCAAGTCAAAGTACTCCTCCCTTTCTATACAGAGCCTGCAGTTTCCTGCCTCCAAGCATCTGCTCAAATGGTTGTCTTTAGTTGACCAAATATTAGCTTACTTTTAAGACCAGAGTCAAATATTCTCCCTTCCAAGGAGCTTTCCCTGATTTCACTAAACTGAAAGTAAATCCTGCTTCTTTCAAGTTTCCTAATAACTTTATTTGTTCTTCTCTTAAAGTACGAAACACTGCATAAATGTCTGGCTTCCTCCAATCAACCATGAACTAGTTGAAGGTGGGGACTAAACCTTATTCACCCTTGCTTTTTTCTTTTTAAATAATTCTTTATTGTTGAAAGTATTACATATGTTTCCTTTTTCCCCCTACTCCACCCCCTCCAGCCTGCTCCCACCCTCTGCCCCAGGACCTCACTGCCCCATTGTTTGTGACCATGGGCCATGCAATATATGCATTCAAGGTCCTTGGTTGATTACCTCCCACCCATGCACCCTTCTCTGAATTCCCTCCCAGATTCTGCACTCTGTTCCATGCTTCCATGTCTCTGGAACACCCACTGTCCCCAAGATTCTGTATTTGTTCTTCAATAAATCTCCACTTTTGCTATATTACCCTCTGTCTGTGGATTCATTCGTCTACTCTGGTGAACAAAGAATCCGGGTTCCAGTCCAAAAATTCCGTTTCAGTAGGACTACTACTTGAGTCTTGTGATTGTAGATGAGATGGTCTCTCCTATCTCCATTGCTGTCCTTCAGCCCTGATCATGAGGTGGGCAGAAACTGTGATAATTTCTTACTGCATTTTAAAGAGAAAGCCCAGAAACTGCAGTATTTCCAATGAGCATTTATCCTGGGTGAGAAAGACTGAAGGGAAACAAACCAAGCTTCCAATTCAAGAAGTTGGAATAAAGAACAATTTGAAAAGTAGTGGAGTTGGATTAGACAGTGATTGAGACATTCTACGAATTATATGGAAAGGATTCTTACCTGTGAACAATGAGCTGGTCAAATGTAGGCATCTTTGGACCTGATTCCTCATGACTCCTATAATGTAAAAAAGGCAAAAAGAAGTAAGAGAAAGAGTTTAGGCATTAGACCTAAAAAGGCTTGGGCTCAAACCCCACTGAGGCTTATTACTCTGGGTTGCCTGCTTTGAGAAAATTATTGTCTAAGTCCACATTTCCTTATCTGTAAATGAAATAGTTGTCATAGTCATGTCTCAGATGCTATGAATTTGTTATCCCATTCAATTCTCCCCAGACACAGAAGTATTTTATTTTACTAATTTTTACTCCTTCCTGATTCTGTAGACAAGAAAATGGGTTGAGAGCAGTTAAGAGTCAGCAAGAGGTTGCCAAGAAAATGCACCCTAGTGCACTCACTCAGTGTACCAGCTTCCATCTACAAAAGATAGGAATAGGAAAACACATCCCATGTGATGGTCAGATAAGAAAATGTGTTTGAAGTGTAAAGATGATATTAACTAGATCCATTCTCATTTCTTTTAACAAATGTTTATGAATAAATAAGTATACCCAGGTATTTTTAAAAATCATGTTTAAATTATAAATCCTTTGTCTAAAGATGATGACTAGTCAATCAAGTTTATGTTTATTCTCAGCTTTTTTGAGTAAAGGTGTTGCTGAGGAAAGCTCACCATTGGAACATGAGACTGAGCCAAGCTCTACCCTCATGGGATGGCGGCACATCATGTTGCTGGGAAAGGCCCTAAGAAGCAGGGAAGAACCTTTGAGGTAATTTCAAGGTTTAATGGGGAGTAACAGAAATTAATCAAGAAAAAAAAGCCTGGGCCCAGTGGGCATGGCTGAGTGGTTGAGCATCAACCTATGAACCAGGAGGTCACGGTTTGATTCCCAGTCAGGGCATATGCCTGGCTGTGGGCTCCATCAGTGTGGAGCATGCAGGAGGCAGCAGAACAATGCTTCTCTCTCATCATTGATGTTTCTATCTCTCTCTCCCTCTCCCTTCTTCTATGAAATCAATATATATATACACAAATATATGAAAAAAAACGTGGAAAGAAAATATTATACAAGAATTATTTACAGGTCTGGAAAGGCTCAAAACTGTATTTAACACAAATGTTTTCATTAGACTTTCTTACACTTTCTAATGATCATTCCAACATCAGTACCTCAGATGAATGCTAGTAGCAGGAGATTAATCCCTGGGAGGGGAGAGGACTTTGAGGACCTGGAAGAGAGCAGAGTCACAAGATGGACAAAACCAAGACTCGGCTCAGATTTTGAGTTTTGCTTTGCCTCTTATTAGCTGTGTGACCTTCAGCCTATGCATGCACACTCCTGTGACTCTGTGGTAGAGATTGCTAGTTATTCCTCAAATCATTTCCCTTCCCCTGGGCACACAGGAGAAGCTAGCAGTGACCCTGGGGATGATTTTGGCCAATGGGATGAACATGGAGGCACATATGCCATGTACAGGCTTGGTCTGTTGAAACCTTCATGAGCTCCTCCACTCTCTCTGTTTCCCTATCTGCTGGTGGGAGGAGAAGGCTCTGAATACCTAGAGGAGGGCAGAGCCACAGATGGAAGGGGCCTGGATCTCAAAATGTTAAATGAAAGGCCACCATACCAGAAGTGTTCTATGGACTTGACAGAATAAGAAGTAAACTTGTATTATGTTGAACCACTGATAAGTCTATTACCACATTTATACAGATTCATTTTCCTTGTTGATACCATGGGGGTAATAATGGTCTTAAGTCAGTTATAGAGATCAAAAGAAATAATGTACAGCCATGAGTAGCTTAACAACAGGGTTATGTTCTGAAAAATGCATCATTAGGTGGTTTTATCTTTGTGTGAATGTGGTAGAGGGCACTTACACAAACATAGATGGTATAGCCTACTATACACCTGGGTGCTATGTTATAGCCTATGGCTCATAGATTACACACCTGTACAGCATGTTACTGTAGTGAATATTGTAGGCAATTGTAACACAATGGTAAGTATTTGTATATCTAAACATAGGAAAGGTACAGCAAAAATCTATACTAATAAAAGGGTGGTATGCTAATTAGACCGATATCTTCTGGATCACCGTCTGGATGTCCTTCCTGACAAAGCCTGACCACCAGTCCCGGGGAAGAAGCCATTCCGCTGACCAGTCTTCACTATGGACCTGTTCAGGGACCTGCCGGAGCCCGAGCGCTCACCAGCTGCCGGTAAGTGAGAGGCCGCCCTGCTAGAGGTGTCGAGGAGAAGGGGGCAGGTGTGTGGGCAGGTGGACTGAGGTGGTCGGCAGGAGGAGAGGGCAGGCAAGTGCATTTGCCTCAGGCCAGGCCCCAGCATGTGCCCTCAGCCCCGGAGCACTCCACCATGTTTGCTCTGTAGGAAGAAAAGTCTCTGCTCAAGGTGCAGGCCCCAGGCAGCGCGGCCCCCCACAGCCCAGCTTCGGCAGCTCAGCATCAGCCTGGCACAGAGTCCCTCTGCCTTCGCACGTGGTACAGCATCCGGGGCCCCTAGCCACAGCCCTCCAGCCTGGGTCTGAATAGCTTTTCCCTTGAACAACGTTTTTCCACGTGCGTGTGTGTACAAGTTCAGGGTTTTGTTTTAGTTTGTTTTTACCCCAGAGATTAAAGGAATCACCAGTGTTATCTTTCGTGTTTTTGAATCATCCTCTGTGCTTCTCTGATTTTTCAGTTGATAGTAGTTTCCTGGGTCACGGGAAGTCTCCCTCTCCCCAGAATTGGGAGCAGCAGCCCAGGTCCACCCATCGGCTGGCCCTTACTGTAGGGATGAGTTCCTGCAGGCTGGGGTTTGATCCCCACACATTAGCAGTAGACCAGTGCCTTTGTTATTGCTGTGTCGGGTTTTAATTGGACAAATGCCCAGCGGTCCTGGCGAAGAAGCTGCCCGGCAGTCCTGTGAGCCAGCTTAACAAAATCTTGCAAAAGGAGAATTCTGTCTGGGTTTCCCCAAATTCCCTCAGCCCCTACTCACTCCTCTGTAAAGGCACAGAACAAGTGAAGCCCCTTAAATAAAAATCAGAGGTCTCCAGCAACACTGGGCCTCTCACCTCACAGTCATTTGGATTGGATGGCATTTGAATATTTATCTAGGCACCATGACAAGGAACACACAAGCTCAAGTCATGATCTCTGCCCTTAAGTAATTCACAATCTTATTAGAGCGAGTGGATGGTAAAAGCGCAGTAATGACATCAGAATGCAAGGCA